CAAAAAAAAAAAGACACACACCTTTGAAAAAGCTCCAAGATGGAGTGAAACATGTCAGGTTGTTAGTGGCTCTGGTGTGTGCTGGATTGGTTCAGCAGATGTCCATTCACTCATGTATACTGGAGAGTGCACAACTACCTTTGTGATCACGTTAAACACTTGGATGTGTTGGAATAGAATCTGAACTTGCAAATTGCATTGGGACTTTAAACAACCTCCTCTTTTGAGTTCCTTGGTGACCCGGAATCTCTTCATGATGGCTGGCTGGAGCAGTGACAAAGCAGCTCACACTGTGGACTCTCTGTCCTTTATGTATTGAAAGACATTGGTGGTATTTCTCACTACCCATTAGGCATACAACAGGGAGCGTGGTAGGTCCCGCTCCCCAAGCTGTATGAACCTATTGGGGTAGTGTGGAGGACATAATATATATTTGCAAGCTTGCGCTTTCTGAGAGAGAGAGAGAGAGAGAGAGAGAGAGAGAGAGAGAGAGAGAGAGTGTGTGTTATATATATATTACACACACATATACATACATACACACACATACACACTCTTTTATTTATTATTTCTTCAGCCAGATTTACTCCACGATCTGTAAACACATGCTGACTGAAGATAGATGCTGCATGATGGATTCACTCTAGACCACCAATATCTGAAGTTTATACATATGGATGGACTATTGTGGCGTATGAAATTATTTGAATTGCATTACATATGATATTGGAATTTTTGCCAATCTGCTGACCACAGGCATCGGGACGTAATTGGATTTATTGCATTCAACACATGCTACAGGTTATATTATCGGTTATATTACCGTGTACTTACTTGCTAAAGCATTACTCTGCACTACCTGTTTGTTCCTCAGGCTTTGGATTGGGATTTTATTGTGGGATTTTTGGGGGAGTTTAGATATATTCATATTTGAGTCTGAGTTTTTTTTTGTATGCGTTTCAATAAAATTTAGAGATTTTTTTTACAGTTTCATGTTGCAGATCCTTTTGTTAACAAGTCCTATAGACAGACACACCACTATTTAGGGGGTAATTTGTATTATGTTTTGTGGTTAGATTCTTTTAGGTATGACCAGGCGAGAGGGCACAGATTTCACTTTCACTCATTTGGTCAGAATCTGGAATTACCCTTTATGAATAAGGGCCTAATTTTAGTGCAATGGTTACAGAAGTACGTAGTACAGATTACAAGTGCAAGTCCCTTTTTCATGGTTACATAGTCAGGTTGAAGAAAGACACACGTCCATTGAGTTCAACCTACAGAGATATGAAGAAGAAGAAGAAGAAGAAGAAGAAAAGCCTAAACAGAACGCTACGCCCACAATCACCCCCTGTTGATCCAGAAGAAGGCAAAAAACCCCTATAAAGCATGGTTCAATTTGCTCCAACAGGAGAAAAAATTCCTTCCTGATCCCATAAGGCAATCGGATATTCCCTCGATCAACAATCTCTGGTGCTTCATATACCTATAAGAACTCAATATCCCTACATTTTTGCATGTTTGCAAAAAGGAACAATTTTAAAACTTGTGCATTTGTCATTAACTCAATAAAATTGATATTTTATCCCTAATTGACACGTCATTAAATGTATTTTATTTTTATATGCACATGCAGTTTAACTTTGTGGATTTGACCTTGTATTGGACTATTTCGGTTCCTCTAGAGAAGAACTCAGTCTGGGAGATGGAAAATCAGAAGCAGAATCACGTAAGGTTCCCATACACTGCGCAAATTTCGGGCTGGTTGCCGCTGTCAAAAGTACAATGCAAACAGCGGGATTCCTCGATCGGCACGCTGTTAGTGTTGATGGAGGAATCGGCTTTATTTTTCTTGCTCAGCCTGTGGGTTGAACGAGAAAAAAAGATCAGTGTATGGCCAGTCTTAGTTGTGCTGCAGTGCTAACAAAGGCCTGCTGAAAACATTATATTTACAAAACTAATAAACTAATCCCTCAGGAGTGGTGTCCTTTCCCAATCTTCAGACAACGTTACACTGCAGTGAAATTTAAGAAGTTAAAAAAAGTTTTCATTAATAGATGTCAATCTACCAATTACCATAAACAGCTTACACAAATTATGTTTGAAGAACAACTCTGGGTAACAATTTTATTAACCCTTGCCGGCTTGCCCTTAGACCGGTCCCTGGAGCCTTGCTCCTGTTCGTTTGCAGCGGTCTAGGGTCCTGTAAACCATCACGTTCTATACACCGTGTATGGGATATGAGGATGCCAAGAGACATACCATTGCTGCAGAGTAGGAGGGAGTGCTGTCACAGCCAGCTCAGAGAATTGGTTGATTATAACTTATTTTTGACCCTGGCCGAAAACAAACATTTAACCCTTGCAGTCCAGGGGTAGTCCTGGGCAAGGGTTAATAGAAAACTTTTACCCAGAGTTGTTCTTTAAAAATGTCAGGGTAATTATTATCTAATGATTTGTAATACAACACGAAAATACAATATCAACCATAAAAACTAGAGAAGAATATTAAAATTGCCGTGTCCTCTATACTTAAAATGCTTCTGTGTTTTCCAAGAGCCTTGCCACAGATTCTATCGTAAAGTCAAACTGAAACCATGTGATTCTGATCTGTAATCAGTCATCAAATAAAACGGTTCCCTAAACAAGAGTCCACATTCACGGAGAAAAGCCCAAAAATGAGGTGCCAGCTGTAATTTTTATAGGAGCATTGGCTACCGGCTCCCAGGATGTGTCCAGCCCTGCAAGTGCTCTAAAAGAACTGGACACCATTTCCCTGTAAAAAGGAAAACAGATTATACTTTACTTACAAAATATTTATTCTTAGAAACATTATTTACAAATACCTATTGCTATGCTTTGCCGTTTCATAAACAAAAGATACCTAGCAATACACAAAATGGACAAAATAGAATATATTTATAATTGTATACTTATATAGTATTAATAACTCTTAACTTATGGGTAGCAACACTGTGTGTATATATGTTTATACACACACACACACACACACACACACACAAAGTAAAATTATTTTATAAAGCATTGTATAGCAACATTAGGGTTACCACTTCCATCTCTGCCACATTAAAACACACCCTGTTGGAAAACTTCTTATACTGACACCAGGATTTACTTATTAAGAGGATGGCAGAGAACTTTGCTGTGTGTTCTTTTCACACAGCTCTGGGACTCGGCCCATAAGGACATACATAACCGACACATGAAGTTTGATTTACTAAAGGAGTAAAGTATGTTCACTTTGTCCTCTACTCCTTTAGTAAATCAATCTCACTAAGTCAGTGTTCAAGCACAGCCATTTCTGAGTGAAATTTGCACGATTTCTGGGATGTAGGCAACTTGATAAATGTGTCTTTTAGGCTGGGTTCCCGGAATATGCGCAATTGCCGTGCGTTTTTACCTTGATTTGCGGTAAAAGAAACGTGCGACAAACGCGCGTTTCCGAGGGCTATCCGGCTGTATCCTAATGGATACGCGCAGCAAATACGCCCCAAAAGAAGCCCCTGTACTTCTTTGGGCGTTTTACAGCGCGTAAAACGCCCAGGTGGGAACCATGCCCATAGGCAACTATTGGTTTTCACATGTTGAGCGTTTTACAGTGCGTAGGAGCGCGCTGTAAAACGCCCAGGTGTGAACCAGGCCTTATGGTGATGACATCATCGTATATATAGGGGTCAGGTATTAAAAAGAATCCAGGAAAAGGCTCCCCTCAGGAATGTTTCATTTCTAGTTTGTAGCCTTCTCCTCCCGATTTTTAAACCTGTGAAACTACAAGAGTATAAAAACTACGAGCGTATAAAAACTACGAGCGTATAAAAACTACGAGAGTATAAAAACTACGAGAGTATAAAAACTACGAGAGTATAAAAACTACGAGAGTATAAAAACTACGAGAGTATAAAAACTACGAGAGTATAAAAACTACGAGAGTATAAAAACTACAAGAGTATAAAAACTACAAGAGTATAAAAACTACAAGAGTATAAAAACTACAAGAGTATAAAAACAAAAACTACAAGAGTATAAAAAGAAAATCCAGTGAAAGGTCTTTGAAATCTGCTTCTTTTTTTTTTGTAAACACTAAAGTGAAAAACGAAGTCATCGTTATCTATGACCGTGTGGTGAAAAGAGTTGATTATCCTTTATGGACGTGCTTGTACCTAATTATCACTAATAAATAAGCTCTTTTCTGAGGTGTTAGTGAAAAGGTGGGCTTGCGGTTATCTGTACAGATATAAAAGACGACCCCTCTCCTGTCACTCCATCCAGACTGGGGAAGTCATAACAATTTTCCCGCCAGACATTCATTCCGATCAGACGCCATTTTTACAGCACTTCCAATATTCAGGCTAGTACCCGCCACTAAAAATATGCTGATCTGGATGGTGTGTGCCATGTGAATGAGGCCTGAAGGCACACTGTGTAAGAGGTTGGTCATTCTACAGCTGACCATACTCATTACAATCTCCTTTAAGATTTAGCCAAGCCGTCATGTGAGGACTAAACAATCTATGCAATCTCTTTTCAAGCATTGTTGCTAGATTGTATGACACGTGTACAATCAGACTGTAAGGTGCATTGCCGGCTTCACCGATATTATTATTCTAAGAATCGTATCTTTCACAAACAGACTGCATTATATGGGGGCTGATCAGTTACAGATCATCTATTAGATGATCAATCTGATGTTATTGTATCAGACGAGTATCTGTGGCTGATTGATCTTTACATGTTGCCAGCATCATTATTCTGTAAACAATAACTATCAGGCATTATTATGTAAACAATATCCGAGCCTCTACAGATGATAAGAGGCGACTTTTGGCCTAGACTAATATTTAATAACATCTTGAAGTTAGCCACACACCAGCAGATGTTGTAGCAGATCTGATCTGTCTTATGATGAGTGGACAGGACTCTGTACACAATCTGCCTGTGTGTGGCTGTCATGACAATGGTCAGTAGAGATCTGTCACTTACCATCCACATTGGGCCGGAATGCCTCCTTCCCCCGGTCCCATATGTCACCATAGGGATCATCATTATTCCAGAGGGGTAGATAGTGCATCTTGTCCCCACACAGGGGTACGATCTCCTCCACAGGCACACAGTCCTTCTCCTCCTTCATGTCCTCCCCGGCTTCCACCTCCTCTATACACACCAGCCCCCCGGACAGCTTCTTCTCCACATAGCGGTACGAGCACAGGCTAATGGTGACCCGGGAGCCGCAGCGGAGCCGCTTGCTTTGTACCAGATGGCCGAGCTCCGGGGACAACAGCCAGGTGTCCTGTACGACCCCATCATACACCGTAATGTCGTAATAGTAGCGGCAACGGCCGATCTCGCCAAGGTAGCGCTGTACGGCTAGCACACACACAGGCTGCCGGTCCCCGATCACCAGCCTCAAGCTCGGACTACGCTGTACACGCTTCCGGGTACGCTGCAGCCAGGAGGACGGGGCCTGCTCTGATACCGGGCTGGGCCCCGGGCTCCCTTCTTCCAGCTCGGCCAGCTGATCGTGCATCTCCCGCCGAGTGAAAGTCAGGCCGGCTGCATCGGCTCTCCTGTCTGTACATGCCTGGGTGACGTATGGCTGCGGTTTTGAAAAAGCCCGGGCCAAACAAAACTAAACCCTGGGAGAGAGCCATCTACAGGCAATCCCTGGGAGAGAGTCATATACAGGCAGCCCTGTGAGAGAGTCATATGCAGGCTGCTCTAGGAGAGGGTCATATACAGGCAGCCCTGGGAGAGGGCCATTTACAGGCAGCCCTGAAAGAATCATATGAAGACTGCTCTGGGAAAGAGTCATCTACAGGCTGACCTACCGGTAGTAGAAGGTCAGCAACAGGTAGCCCTGGGAGAGGGTCACCTACAGGCTGACCTGGGAGAGGGCCACCTAGAGGCAGCTCTGGGTGAGGGTCAGAGGCGTAACTAGAACCTTCAGGGCCCCAGTGCAAGAAACCATGAAGGACCCCCCCAACCCCACGGCACTGCATGGTTAACAGGAAGGCTGCCGAGGTCCCCAGCAAGCGTGGGACCTCAGGCAGCCGCTTGTTTAAAATTTTAGTGCTGGTGTTCTGCGTTTATGTACAGACATGATTAACGAGGAAACCGGCATTTATTTACAAAATATTAATTAGTAATTGTTAATTGTGACCGTTAATGATATGCGGTCCATGGCAGGATATGCAGATTACCACCAGCTGTGCTAGACTACAAGTCCCAGCAGCACACACACACTCTCTCTCTCTCTTCCCTGCACCCGCTCCCACTCCAAACTTACCTTACCTCTCCTGCAGGCCCATGGCCTGGAGGAGACAGACCTCTTAGCTCCGCCCCTAAGAGGCGGGACCAGCAAATTATCCGAGATCAATGACAGCCTCTCCAGCCATTTTGCACAGCTGCCCGTACATGCTGCGGGTGTCTGTGCGACAGGGAAGGAGCGGAACGATCGCGGGGGCGCGCTCTACTTCCTTGCTGCCCCCCCCCAAGTGACGGAACGCCAGGGCCCGGTCGCAATTGCGACCGCTGCGACCCTGGTAGTTCCACCAGTGGTGAGGGTCATCTACAGGCTGCCTTGGGAGAGGGCTATCTACAGGCTGACCTGGGAGAGGGCCACCTAGAGGCAGCTCTGGGTGAGGGTCAGCTACAGGCTGCCTTGGGAGAGGGCTATCTACAGGCTGCCTTGGGAGAGGGCTATCTACAGGCTGCGTTGGGAGAGTGCTATCTACAGGCTGCCTTGGGAGAGGGCTATCTACAGGCTGCCTTGGGAGAGGGTCACCAACAAGCTGGCATAGGAGAGGGCCATCCACAGGCAGCCCTGGGAGAGGGCCATCTACAGGCTGCTCTGAGACAGGATAGGCTACAGGAAGCCCTGAGATAGGGTCGCCTACAGGCTGGCCTGGCAGAGGGCCACCTACATGCAGCTCTGGGAGAGGGTCAGCTACAGGCAGTCCTGGGAGATCTTCTACTGGTTGACCTGAGAGAGAGTTATTTCCAGGCAACCCTGGGAGAGAGCAAGCTACAGGTAGCCATTGGACAGGGCCACCTTCAGGCTGCCCTGGAAGAGGGCAAGCTACAGGCTGCCTTGTGAGAGGGCAATCTACAGCAGTGGTTCTCAACCTGTGTAACCTCAGGACCCACATTTGTCCTTGGTCAATAAGTCGCGACCTAAGTCACACTGCAATGGAATGCATGGCATTAGGGTACCATGGGTTGCGTTTAGGGGGGAGCACAGTAGGTGCAATTGCGTGGTACAGTGCATTAATCACATGGTACTATACGATTAACGCACTGTACAAGTGTGAACGGGCCCTAAAAAACACAGACAGACTGTGACAGACATACACAACCACAGACAAAATCTGCTGAACTGTGCTGGAGCTCCATCCATGTGTGCATTGCATGTACAGCTCCCTTGCGCACCCCGTAGAGGTGTCGGGATCCAGAATGTGACGTCACTCCAGTTCAGGCGCCTCTACAGGACATGCAAGGGAGCTGTAAACAATGCACATATGTATGGGGCTCCCTTGCCCACTCAGCACCAGGCAGCATATTTTGAATGACTGGTTGGCGTGAGAACTGACAGTGCTGCGTTATGGGGAGGCTGGGGAGCCTCTCACCTAAAAAACGTGGAAGGCATGTGGCGACCCACTGAACACAGGGTCGCGACCCACTTTTGGGTCACGACCCACCAGTTGAGAACCAATGATCTACAGGCTGCCTTGGGAGAGGGCAATCTACAGGCTGGTCTAGCAGAGTGTCACCAACAGTCTAACCTGGGAGAGGGGCCTTCTGCAAGCTGTCTTGAGAGAGGGTCATCTACTGGCTGGCCTGGGAGACGGTCATATACAGGTTGGCCTGGGAGAGGGTCATCTGCAGACTGGCTTGGGAAAGAATTACTTACAAGCAGCCCTGGGAGAAGAAAACCTACAGGCTGCTACGGGGGAGAGGGTCATCTACAGGCTTGTCTAGGAGAGTGTCACCTACAAGCAGCCCTGGGAGAAGAACACCTACAGATGACCCTGGGAGAGGGACATCTACAGGCTGCCCTCAGAAAGAGCCTACTACACGCAGCCCTGGGAGAGGGCCACCGACAGGTAGCTCTAGTAGGGGGCCCCCTTACAGGCATCCCTTGGACATTACTGCACTTGTAGTTCATTGTTTACTTCCTTCAGGCCCATAACAACAGGTCCACATCTCAGGAAGAACCTGGACTTGGGGTTAAGCAATGCAGGAGCTTGTGCACCACAACCATGATGCATTGATCACGGTTGCAATGCTCTGCAGTCTTTATTAATTGTTTTTCTATCTTAGGACTGGTTCTCTTCGGTGTGACCAAATCAAATGTACAAATTCATGCACCCCAAACAGAGAGCACAGCGAGAAGTGGTCTGTTTTTGGTCCCTTAACGGCATATGCAAATATCATGGAAAGATTTCTGGGCTTGTTTGTTTTAGAAGCTTCAGTATAATTACATTCTGTGAACATTGCACTTGGTAACTAAACCATCCCACAAACTTGTTCATATTTTATCAATTATAAGCCTAATACATATAAAAAATGTTTCATATATTTTACATGCAGTTTTATGGATCTCTATGGCAGATGATTTTTTGATCAAAAAATGCACTTAATAAAAAATGAAGAGATGATTGGGAACCTTTGACTATAATGGCATATATTATATCATGAATTTTCTGCGCAGTTCCTAATACATATAAAGCAATCCTGTACTGAGAAATATATAGGGTGCAATTGCTGACTTCTGCAAATGCTAGTTACGTGGCTGTCTTGTTGTCCTGGCTTGTGCACACCAATAAAGAGTTCAGACTTTACTCTGACAGTACTTGTTCCAGGTCAGTGAAGTACAGTTCGAGTGACAGGCCACTTGAATTGTGAGATGGAGGGCTATATGCCTCTCTACTTTGTCTGGTGACATAGTAATGTCTGCTGGGGGTGGGTAGAGGGAATCACGGGTGGCGACATTACCAGATATGGTCATGACCAAATTTGGCCAATGATGTCACCCGGGATTCCCGGCGGTGTGTTCATGTAACCGCAGTACCAGGGATTTGTCATTTAGCAATGGGAGTGTGACAGGTCACACTCCCTTGCAAGGGAAGGAAGGATCCCTTCCCCCACACCCTTGCAAATCTTCCCTTGCAAGGGAGTGTGACCTGGTTTGATACAGGAAGGGGGGGCATCTTTGCTGCCTTCCCTTTTCATTTGTGTATTTTCAATATTGCCCTTTAAGCTGCATGAAGACCCTCCACCCACATTTTAAAAACATGTTTTGTCCCATATGGCAGTGCCCAACTTCTCATGGCTTTTATGACAATAGGTTTCCTATTAGCTTTGAAAATGGTCGGAATTGATTATCAAGAATTACCCCAAATAGACTTCAGTGGGGTTCGGCGCTTGGTTTGGGGTTTGTGGACTTCATATTGAGTTTGCTGAACTTCCTATGAACTAAACCCAGGCAGATTCACTAAAGACTAAAGTGACAGTGTTGTGTCTTGTGATAAGGGGTAGAGGTCACCCAGAGTTCTCACCCATACAGGTTGAGGGGCTCCAGGGTGTGTGTTTCATATAGTGTTCAGGGCTTTACCTGGGGGACAGAGGAAGTCTTGTCAGGCCCCATTCACACCAGGGCGGTAGCAGTTTCCGCGATGTTTCCGTGCGATTTTTAAAAGGGCATTTTTAATCGTGTTTCAGCACTGAAACGCAATTAAATACACCCAAAAATGTGCTAATCAGCACGTTTTCATTGATATCTATATGGAAAACGAGCTGATCAGCGCTGAAAAAGTAGCTCAGGGAGCAGTTTGGGTGGCAGGTGGATTGAAACATGCGATTCCGGCCCATAGGAATACATTTATTTTTTACTGCTGGCGGTTCAGCGCGGAGAAATCTGTGCAATCGAACTGCCGTGGTGTGAACGAGGCCTCAAGGAGTCAGCAGGGCTCCACCCAGGAGTTAGGGTGGGAGTCAGTGCAACAGGGAACTGCAAGACTGTACCAAGAGTGCAGGTTAACACAGTGTTTGGAAGACTGGAGGACACAGACAAGGGCCCGAGGACTAAGGCAGGAGCAGTGCTGCTGCAAGAGCAAAGCCAGGAGGCTGAATGCATGTTTTTTTATGAAGAGAGAAGTTGGTCAACCTCTGTGAGGGCAACTGCATTATGCTTTGAGAACTTTCTATTAATAAAAGTAGACAAGGAATCTCCTAATTGCTGCGTCCTTACAGTTTAAAGTTTGTTTTTTAACTTTAATACTTTTTATTTTACCATTTTAAAAGTTTACAGACATGTATATAAGATATAGCATTGTTTTAGCCTCCAGATCACCTGGTGACAATTTACAAGGACAATGCATTTTTGGCAGGATTTACAGGTATTTTCTGTACTTGCTATAAATGTTATTAGCTTGAAAACAAATGCAGCCACCACATATAAGAACTGGTAAACCACTATACATTGAATTTCTGCTAATGGGTTTAGTCATACTTTAAGTTATAGTTACGTTTAGTAACTAATAGCAACCATTCAGAGCTCATTATGCTGATGTTAGTCCACTGTGGGTGTTCTGATTGTTTGCTATGGATTATTGCACCTAAGAATTAGCACTTAA